GGGGTGGGGGTGGGGGTGGGGGAGCCGGAGAACGGAAGGTCTCACCCAGGCTCGCTCTAAATTCTTGGTGACTAGGTAAGGATTTTCCAGCTGAACAAGGGATTTTGGCCTGGGGAATGTTTTAGGAGAGGAAATTGTGCGCACAGGCTCGAGGTTAGAGGCAACGCAGTGTGTTCCCGAGACGAAGTGTGTGTGTATCTGGAGAGGAGGCAGTGTGAGGCTGGAGACACACAGGGCAGGAAAGTCCACGGAGCCGGAAAACCAGTGCGGTCAGTGTGGTTGGTGTGGTGGCAGCTGGGCCGCAGCTGGGCCTCATGCGCCTCGGCTGCCCCTAGTGGACGGCCGGGGGAGCGGCCGGAACGGGTGACGGGCAGCTCGGAGGCAGACAGGCTGGGATGGGCGTGGGCGCTGGGCAGCAGACCCACCCGGGACAGGCTGGATGGGCGCGTGCGCTGGGCAGCAGGCCCACCCGGGACAGGCTGGGATGGGCGTGGGCGCTGGGCAGCAGGCCCACCCGGGACAGGCTGGGATGGGCGTGGGCGCTGGGCAGCAGGCCCACCCGGGACAGGCTGGGATGGTCAGCAGACCCACCCGGGACAGGCTGGGATGGGCGCGTGCACTGGGCAGTAGGCCCACCCGGAACGGGAGGAGCGGGATCTGGATCCTCAGGAGAGGTGCTCTGTCCCTAGGTCCTCTGTCACCGGCTTTGTGGGCCAGATCCCACCATTAGAGGATCTTTTCTTTGGCTAAAGAGACTGTAGGAGTTGTGTTAAAATGCATTCAGCTCCGCAGAGAGGGAGGCATTTCCCTCCCTTTCAGGGGGTGTGGGGGAGGGCAGGCCTCAGGAGGGCTTGGGCAAGGAGAGGGGCAGGGAAGCTTGGGGGCAGAAACAAGGCTGGAGGAACAAAAAGGCCTGGTCTGGGAACCAGAAGTGCATCACTGTGCAGCCCGGGCCCGGGCAGGCCAATCCAGGCCTTTGTTAAGTGCAGGTGGGGACAGGTGCACACAAGCTTTGGAGTCAGGTTAGAGTAGGAACTCATTCCAACAAGTCAACCACGTGGCCCAGGTGGTTCTCTGAGCCTGTGAGTCTCTCAATGGTTCTGACATTTACCTCGTAAGAATTTCTAAGGACTTAATGGCCCAAAGTAAACATCTCATAGATGGTATGTATTTGTTCACCTTTATATTCCAGCACCAGCGCACAGCCCCAGGAGGTGACGGGAAATGTTCTAGGCACACGGGACAGCCCACGTCCAGCCACAACTCTAAACGTGGACCTCGGATTTCCCCAGAGCTCCTGGCCTGGGCTCTGATGCCGCCAGTAACCAGGTGCTAGTAACTGTGGATTAAAAACGGAAAATCCACACTGACTGTGACCTACAGCCGAGTGGCTGCCGTTTCATTCTGTCAGTGCTGGTGCGGAACTGTTCTGTTTTCAGAATCTCAGTGCCTTTGAGCATCTTTTCACTTAAATACAGCAAACCCTTGATTTTGTGGACCTCGATTTAACAGACTTTGGATTTAACAAAGTTTCTGGTCCACGTATGTCATGTGAAAATTAACACCCCTGTTAATTTAAAAATGCTTTTAACCAAGATTTGCTTATAATTAAATTAACAGGTTATTTTTTTGTTAATTCCGTTATTTTTAACGAATTTTAGAGAATAGGCCGTATGTTGGAAAAAACACTAGTAATTTCACTGATGTGTCTACAACTATAGTCTACATATTTAAAGTCACTGCTCGTAAACAGTGTTCTGGGAATGATTAACACGTGATTATACCTCATCATGTGCAGTCACATGTTGTCTCGTGATTTTCTTCAGTTTTAATGGTCGAGGGTCAACGGTCGCACCTGCCCTAAGCCCTACCCCCGCCATGCACGTTTGTTGAGTCACGGTGACTGGTGAATGCGGGCATTTACTAGATACATTCAGCATAAATTTAAAATCACTGTAATACATATAGAAAACTTTTCTGTGAAATTAAACTTTTCATAAATAATTACACAAACCTGTCTACATAAGTAAAAACAGATTGATTAATTTGTCACTTTTTTAACATACGCACTTGGAAAACCTACTGTATTATATAACAGGTTTTTGGTTTTAATGGACACCCCCTTGCCCGAATCAGTCTGTTCTCTAGAGGTTTTACTGTTCTCCTAGGCTACTCATTTAGAAGCATGATCCCCTTCCTGGGAGCTGACAGAACCAATTCCAGGGAACTTTAGATTAATTCCTTTGAAAGCTCAGCAGTTTGTTCCTGGCTACGGCCAACTCCGCGGGAAGAAGTCCTCTCCGGCGGGACCCAGACGTGCACTGACCAGCTGCACCTCGGGCCTGTCACTAAGGTGGTTCCAGCAAAGGGGACCCGGCCTGAGGTAAAAGGTGTCGGAGCAAGTGTTCCGGGTGTCAGACAGCTCCTGTGGTTTGTCAGGAAGGACTGTCCCGAGCCCGGGCTGGAAGGCAGGTGGAGCAAAACACTCGGTCTGAGCTAGGCTTCCGCCCACTTTTGTGGGAGGACTCCCACTATATACCTCACTCGCCATGTTACCCCAGTAAGATTCCAACTTCACTAGCTGCATAAACAAAGGCCATGTGAGTGGGGGCACTTCTCACTGGCGTTCAAGCTTAAGACAACCCTAGCGATGGTTTTCTGACATGCAAAATGGGATAGCCATGGTCAGGAGGAGTGAATGCAAAAAAATCAGGGTTTGAATATTCAGGTTTCTAAAAATAAGCTGTGCTTTCTCTTTAAAACCTTTAGCAGTTGAAGAAAGTGACTAGAATCTAAAAAAAAAACGCTTAACTTTGAGTTTACAGGTAGCTTTCCCCCTCAGCGGAGACAAAGAGCCTAAGGTTTTTCTGGGTCACCCGAGGGCTGAGCTGAGTGAGCAGCGCCGGGTCCTGTTTACCTTGACTCTGGGATTCCTCCCACTGCCTCTTTCCTGTTTCCTTTCTCCCACTCTGTTTACTAACGAGCCAAAGCATGAACCTAAATGTTATGCAAGAGCAGTCTGTTGTACTGAGTTTTATGTTTGTATTTTGAAAGGGTGGAACGAATGTTTTTGTATTATTTTAGAAAGAGAAAAGCTTAAACCAAATGTTAAAATTGTTTCTGTCTCTGGGCTGGGAAGACAGACTGCTCTGCGGGGCTCTGTAGTCATTTGGAGTCAGGATCTGCGATCCAGGTCCGGGCAAGACCAGAGGGACCACAGGGAGTGAGGCTGAGCCTGGGAGCCACAGCCAGAGGGTTTTAAACGGCGGGACGCACAGCCCCACGCCCGGTGTTGCTCCTACAGCCTTTAGTGTTTACCGAACACTGTGCGGGAGGAAGACTTGTCTGGATCGTGGGTTCATTTTGGACTCTGCGTGGTCTGGATAAAATTGCAACGTGAAGACCGGCAAATCTGTCAGCGGAGTTTCCTCCAGGCAGAACCGCTGAGCAGGTTAGTTCCCTACAAGGGGCAACCTCGGGGCAGCAGGGAGGGGCCGTGCCAAAGGCCTCCTGTGACCCAGGCCAGGCTCCACGGGGCCCCGACCGGCCACAAGGTGGGGCTGCACCTACTCAGGAGGAACCCCCTGGGAGGCAGGACGGGGGCCCAGGAGCCCTCGTGGTTAAGCCTGGAAGGCAGGTGAGCGAACCTGCCATCCGAGTCCCTTCTACACGTCACGAAGGCCAAGACAGGGCGTCAGTCCTCCAAATCCCGCTCCATATGCTAGACGAGCATTTAAAAGCCACAGGATCCTTCACATGAAGACCCAACACCAAGTGACACTGTCACCTCAACCAAGACGTTGTGACATTGAAGCAGTGACCACACAAAAATACCTGAATAAGGATTTATTCCCTAAACCTACTTAAAGGATTATACGCGATATACAGGAGTACATTTACGGTAACGTTTAGAGTTATGTCAACATAAAAACAATAGCTGTGGTTACAGTTAGAACATGCAGTGAGCTACAAAGGTGAAAACACACAACTCTCCGGACAAGCCTTGCGGATGACATCAGGCCAGGTGGGGCTGAGGCAGCTAGTGACCGGGAAGGGACGGAGCCAGGACGCAGGGGACACGCCCTACCATCCCTGGACTGCAGCGCTGGCCCGCTGCCCACCTGTGCGCACTGTCCACACACACGGACATCAAGACTGAAGAACTCAGACACGACCTTTCAAGACACCGTTTTATTTGTGACAGTGTTGGAAACGGGGTTATCACTCAGCAAAGCTGTGTAAGGGACAGAAGACTGGGAACACCCTGTCACCACTGGCCCTCAACCACCTTCATCACCACCTCTCAACTCGAAGAAACTGGGTAATGCCGATAAACCACCCTGGCTACAAAACTCCCAGAATTTAGGAACGAGCGGCCAAGAGCTCACCCAGAGCTGCCTCTCGCGGTAACGCCGTGTACCCGGGACCACACGCTAGTGCACACACCAGCAGCAAATGAAAAACATGAATCCCAAAGGCACATTTGGCCGAGCAGCGTCCTGCCCTCCACCTGAACTGTTCACAGTCTGAAGGGAGCTGCTGTGGACCAGGGGCGCCCGGCGGTGCCTGGGGGTCAGCACCTCCTTGGGAACCTGGGAGGACACCCTGTCTCGGGCCAACCCTGGGCACCTGGCTGCCGTGGCTCTGTATTCTTGATTCACAGAAAAGTGCAAAAAACATTTAAAAGCAACCTTACCCAGGCAGCGGGATCTGACACGACCCACACAGGAAGCCATCCCCAAAATTTCTAACACGTAACCTTTCAGGTAGGGAGCTGCTTGGTTTGCATTTTAGCCATTTCAACACTGAGACGGGAGCCTGGCTCGGAAACCCGTCAACACCAAACAGAAGGGGGCTGAGACCTGCCTCGTTTGACCGTTTCCTTCGCGGCCCCTGCCCCGGGCGCCATGTTCCTCACTATCCGGGCAGGACCCTCCACCAGCAAAGCCGCGCCCACCCAAGGCTCTGGGACGGTTAGCATTTTCAGCAATACTTCTTAAAATTAAGGCGATTGACTTTATCCCTGAAAGGCGAAGCTTCGCCTGGTGCAGCTAACGGGAGCGCCTCAGGGAGCGCCACACGGGTCCGCAGGCCGTCCTCAGGCCGAGACGTCTCCCGGAGCCTGTCTGGTTTCTCTATAAAGCTGTCAGACGCGTCACTCAAGGGGCCTTTCACGAATAAACCGAGTGTTTCAACTTCGCTGACCTTTAACCTCAGGAGCGGGGTCACCGATGACCTTGTGTGTGAACCTCCCACCCTGGGATCCGCTGGAAACTAAGTGACGGGGCAGAGCGGGCGGTTCTGCCGGGGCCTCTCCTCACGCCGAGCGTGCTCTCGAGGGACAGACCCGCGTTTAAAAAAAAACGACTTAACTTTTCAGATTTCAATGGGTTTGAAGCTAGCTTTCCAACAGTTGCGCAGACTCCGCCTCTGCGGGATGAGCAGGACCTGGCGCCGGCGCTGACGGTCGGATGGCAGCGACGACCTGTGGCGGAGCCGATGCCAGTCCGTCAGCTCTCAGGGCGGCTGCGCAGGAGCAGCGGCTCGGCCGTCCAGAGGCTTTCGGACGTGCGAGCGCGACGTCACTCAGTTTCCGGATACTAACCAACCCACTAACTTACACGGGGTGTCCCAAAAAATGTAGACGCACTGTGAATTATTACTTCTAATGGGCGAAGGCCGAAAAGAGCCATCAATTAAGCCGTCAGCTTTTAGTGGTGTGTACGTTTTTGGGGACACCCTGTACGTAGACTGTCACGTAACCAGAATACAGTTCACATGCATCAAAACAGGTCCTCAGGACGCGCCTCGACGAATTCACTCTGCACGTAAACTAGTCCCGCTTGTCTCCCTTCCGGGCAAAGGTGTGCGTTTCATGCTGGTGATCAGACGCGTATCTTCTGAAGGGTTTCTGCGCAGAAGCCGTACGTCCACTGTCGCGGACGGGGCGGGTCCGCCGGCCGCACCGCGCTCTGCGAGTTTCAGCAGAGACGCGGCCCGGTGACGTCCCGTCTCCCGCAGCTCCTCACCTCCCTCTCACGCGCCGAGTCACGCGCGGAGTCCAGGCCAGCAGGTTACATCCCCCAACACCTCGGTCACAGGGAAGTTACACTACAGTGACCGCAGCAACATGACGACGCCTCTCGAGGAAATGAGAAATGTAACAGACACAAATTTCTTGAAAGACATTTCACTGGACAGACCCAGTCCTGCTCCGGCTCAGCCTCGGACGCCAACTTAAATAAACGGCGGTCGTGTGAGTCGGGGCCTCTGGGTCCCTGTGACCCTCGTGCCCAGTTCTCCTCGCTCACTCCTGTCGCCCTATGGCTCTCGCCGGCTGCGGCAGGACGGGGCCCCGCTGTCTCGGGCACGTGACAGAGCTGAGGCGGTGGGAATACGGGGCGCGGCCAACTGTGAGCACAGCCCCAAGCGAGGATGCGCCTCCACCGTGAACGCACCCCTCTCCTTAGCAGCCCCTTCAACTCCCCGACGCCGTTTCAGGTTGGCCTGGCCTCTGCAACTCAAAGGACAGAAGAAGAAAACCTGTTTTCTGCACATTCACAGGAGGGCAGTAAGGTTCCTGACAGTCCCTGAGAGGCCACTCGGCCCCCGCCTTTAGCCCGAGTCATCGAATGTGGTGGCAGGAGAGGGTGTAAGGGTGACGGAGGGTCAGCGCTGACCCTGGGGCCTGCTGCCCTGACCCCCAGGGGGACGGGGAGGGGCTGACATTCCTGCATCAGCGGGGAACTGAGCTCCACCCCGCGGGGCGGCGGGTGCACAGAGGAGACCGGGATGTTCACTAGATCGACAGGCGCAGGTGGGGCGGGAGTTTGTTTTCTGAGCACAGACCATGTTTGTGAGAAACAGCTACTAGAGAAACAGGAGAATTTCATCCTGGTCACTTAACCATGAGCTCAGAGCAGGAACGGGAAGTCCACCTGAAGCTGAGGACACTGGATGACAGGAAGGGCCAGCAGTCCGCACACCACACGCTCGCATTCAAGCCCGTGCAGGGGGAGGACGTCCGAATGCGTAAGCCAGCGTGGCCCTCGCTCCAGGGGCCTCTGAATCCGTGAGACACCTTCAGAGAGGCTGCTGACAGGGGCGGCACTGTTCTGAAAATCCAGTTAGATTACTGATGACAGGATATTCAAAAATCAGTATTTTTTAAACTCTGGGATTCCTTCCCCTGGAAACCGGCAGAAGCATCGCCAGTGGAAGAGAGCAGATGTTCTGTATGTTGCTGTGATTACACACGGGCTCTTTTTTTTGGGTCAGAGAACAGACGTCCGGCTCGTCTGGTCTGGCCGCCGGGGCTGCGGTTAAAACTCTGCCAGCCGAGGTAGTGGGTCTGGACCTTGTCCCTGACCCCTCATACCACCTCCCCCTCCGCCACCTTTCTGATGACTTCCGAGTTAAACCCAGCGCCGCTGTGCAAAGTTTACCTCTGCTCATTACTCAATACTGTCCCCTAGACGACCAGACAAGTGTCCTTACAAGTGTGTGGGAAGCAACAGCTCGTCTTCAGTGCAAACACCCGGAACCGGCCATCGCGGCCATTCGTGGGTAAGTGGTCTGTGTAGTGTTTGAACGGAATCCGGTCTCTGGAATGGAAACGGCCACGTGGGAGGACAGGACTCCCAGTTCCCAAGGGCAGAGGGTCACTCGGGGGAAACTGCATCCATCTGGCCGCGGAGGAGACCCTGTTAGGAGATGGCAGGCGCCGCCGAGTGCGGAGCTGGCCTCACTGGGGCATGTAGCCGCCCCGCCTCACTGTCTGTGGCAGGTAACTTTTCGGCAGCCCTTCATCGAGCACAGCCTCCGTCCCAACCGTTTCCAGCCCCTCAGTCCCTGGACCGAAAGCATCTACTGCAGGGACCTCCTGAAACACCTGCATCTGCCCCGACCCGCAGGCCTGGGTGACGGGGCCCGAAAGCTGCTGCGTGAGTCTGGCGCCGTCTTCCTCGCCGGCGGGGACCGGCCACGGCCTCTCCGACTGCGCACTGTCTGAGCCGGGTTCCTGCTGACCGCAGTTCTGCTTGAAATACGGCTGCCTGGGCAGAACGCCGTCCACGCTGTCCACCAGCTGGAGCTCCTCGGGCCGCTCCTCGGAGTCCAGCAGAGGCTGCGTGGACTCCGAGCGCGAGAAGACCTGCATGGAGGGCGCCTGGTGCCGGTAGCCGCTGTGCACCACGGTGGAGTACTGCACCGCGCTGGCTGCGCTCTGCGCGGACTCGCTCTCGTCGCCGCTGGACAGGCTCTGCCTGGAGGACATGCAGGAGGAGCCCCCAATGCCGCTGCTGTGGCCCTCGGTGCTGGTCTTCTCCTTCCGGAACAGGTCCAGGGCCTTCAGGTCCTCCGGAAAGGCCTTCTTGTCGTTTGCTTCTATCTCCACGACACTCACGTCGGTGAAGTTGCCATCCGAGTACATCTGGTCTTTCGAGTTAAAGTTATGCTGAGAGAGGGAGAGAGATGGGTTATCACCTACGGCACACGCTCCCTCAGAAACGGAGACGCCTGCAGTGCGTGTCGGGCGCGCTCCCACGCCTCTGACCTCCAGCTGCCGGTGCTGCAGAGAGAACCTCTACCACCGGGCGAGTCAGCCCGACCCACTGCGCGGCCGCTGCGAGCCGGCGCTAAGCCGTGTGAATCGGGCTGCATCGCGTCAGATTCCACGTCAACCTGCCGGGCGGTGTCCTGAGAGGCTGCGAGTCCACACACAGTGTTTTGCATCCATGCCCAGACCAGGCAGCTTGGGCTAACCAGACAGAAAAGCTGGCAATGTTCCGGAAACCAAACTCCAGTGACTGAAGTTTCATTGCATATAAATACACAACATGTTGGAATCTGTCACTACAAAATTCAAGACTTAAAGGCAAAACATACAAATCATTTCCCCTTTAGGGAAGTTTGAGGAATTCAGGGCAGGGTCTGGAAATCATCCCATCAGTGTGAAAATGTTAAATTTGATTTTAGCACCCGATGCAAAATGCTCACCCTACAGGGTCATCACAGAGCAGTATTCACAACGGTAAGTTTCCAAGTTGTAATATCAGAATGTTAGTATCTGACACCAGGAACATCAGAATAAATATGCTCCAGTGATGATAAAATAGAATGTGTAGGTATTATTTTAAATTTTGGTTAAAATTCTTACTTATGTACTATTTTACTTCCAGTTACTTTTTGATTCAGTCTGACTGGTTGAACTCTACAAATGTATCCTAGTTTGTCACATAAACAAGTCAGAAATATCCATCTTACCCGAGGCGGCGTGTGCGGGGACCACTGGGCAATGTGGCTCTTGGACGGATCAGGGACATTGGGCCAGATGTGCTTCTTAATTCTGGAGAGAGAAGAAAGAGCCGATGTCGAACCACACGTAACACACGAGGAGACATGTTCATCTACAAGACACCTCCTATACCCAAAGCCAATGAAAATGAACTTCCTGAATTAGTAGAAAAGCTATTTAAAATGCACCAGGATCGCAATCCTAGTCACAAGCAAAGAGTGTTAACAAGGCTAAAGCTAGTAACCTCAAATCAAGTCCTGCAGTAAAAGCCGCTAAAAAGTGTTAGCCAGCCTGGCCGGGCGTGGCTCAGCGGTTGAGCATTGACCTGGGATCCAGGCGATCAGGGTTCGATTCCCG